AACAACTCATGAAAGAGCCTGACCTTGGAAAATAAGGTGGACAGGAGGAGAATTGCTCACACACTAGTTTCTTATTTCTGTTATCTCCATATAGCTCCAGTGGTATTTTAAAGATGAGCAGTATGCTAAGGAGGGAGGATTGCTAACACACTAGTAGTGTCTTATTTCTGTTATCTCAGTATAGCTCCAGTGGTATTATCAAGACAAATCGTATGCCAAAACTTAAAAGTGAACATATGCTCATGGGGGTGAGGAGTAGAGGGTCACTGCTGGTTTTTTGAAGTTAGGAAAGACTTTGTGCTTGGTTTAGATAAGTTAAGGTTCACAGCTGGGTTGATCTCAGAAGTTGGCTAATGTAATTATCAGTTGATGTATAAACTTTTCAGAGCTTACAAAATTCCACAGCCAGAGTTTTTATGACAGTCATCAATATTTGAACTTACTCCAGTGTCAGTTGGTTGTCATTGATTCTTAAGGCAACACTACCTTGAATTTTTTAAAAAGTGGTTTGAGAGCTGTATATTTATTTCCATGCTATTTTATGGTTTTGTTTTTCCTATTTTTCGGACTCTCTCCCTCTGTCTTGGTGTGTGTAATTGAAACTACCATATGTTTTTGGTGCTTGGCCTTTCCCTATTACATAGAATCATAGGATTAGAAGGTGATCTAGTCCATTCTTCTGAACTCATGTTAGAAATAAATATTATTTTGTTTACACTCCCTATCTCTGTATATTCAGAACTAGCACCCATGCTAATTTTTAAATCCAGATTAAAACAAATGTGCTTTCAATCAAGTTTTGTATTTGTGTTTTGGATATAAAATATGCTAAGGTGCTCACAGTAAACAGAATCTATAAGGGTTTGTCTGCACTGCAAGGTTAAGTTATCCTAAATTACAAAATTCCAGCTATGTAGCTTAGGTTGACTTATTGCAGTGCCTACATCATGCTGGGTTGATTGGAGAAAAGCTCCTGTTGACTTAGTCTACACTTACAGTTCTGGTAAAGTACTGGAGTCGACAGAAGAGCCGATCTATGGTCAATTTAATGGGTCTTCACTAGACAAGCTAAAATCAAACCTCAGTGGGTCGATCACTGCAGCATCAATCTCCGGGTAGTGGAGACAAGCCTTTAATCCAGTGGTCTCCAGCCTTTTTAAGCACAAGATCACTTTTTCAATTTAAGTGCAATGTAAGATCTACCTCAGACCCAAATACCTTTGCCCCGCTTCCTTCCTGCTCCTTGTTTGAGGCCCTGCGTCTGCTCCTCCCCTTCTCCGAGGCCTCACTGTGTTCACTCCTTCCTCCTTTTTCCCCCATCCTCATGTACTTTCACCAGGCTGGGGTAGCGGATGGGGTGCAGGCTCTGGTCTTGGTCCAAGAAGTTTGGGTGCAAGGAGTTTGGAGTGTGGGAGGCGCTCTGGGCTTAGCCCAGGTGAGGGATTGGGGTCCAGGAGGGGTTTCAAGGTGCAAGCTCTGGGAAGGAATTTGGGTGCAGGTGGACTCACATCAGGAGCAGGAGGTTGGGTGTAGGAGGAGGTTCAGGGCAGGGAGAGACAAAAACCAAAAACAATACACTTTGCATGCATTAAAAGAAGTAGCAATAACCACCCCACATATGTGTTGGGTGGGGAGATGAGAGTGAAGGACAGTGTGTGTTTGTGAGAGTGATAGACACACACACGGTGTGTGAGTGACAGAGATTTGCATTGCCAAGCTCCCTCCATCCCCTTCATTCTGTGTAGAGATTGGGTATTGAAGTGGCAGAAGGAGGGACACCCTGACATCAGCACCCCCCTTCTTCATCCCACACCCTGCACAACAAGCAGGAGGCTCTGAGGGGCAGCTCCATGGCAGAGGGCAGGAGCAGCATGAAAGTGGGTGGAGGGTCAACTGAAGTGCCAGCATTTGATAGCTTCCTGGCCAAGCCAGTCAGAATCACCTGTCAGAGGCTCCAAGATCTACTGGTAGATCCCGATCTACTGATTGGTGACCACTGCCTTTATCAGACAGACTGCTGAAACTGTTCTAAGATGAAATAATGTAAATAGAAATTCTGATGCCTTAGTCTAACTATTGCAATATCAATTCTGGATTTAGAACTCAAAAGAGGAAGTCAAGAGCATTACTGTCAATCGGCTTCATATAAATCATCTTTGATCCACTTGATTGAACTTTATTTTATGCTTAATATTTATCAGTTTATAATCAGGTCTTGGTATCTCAGTGATACATTTTATATTGTATAAACAAAAAATAGATGTCACTTTTGTAGAAAAGAAAAACTTACGATCTGAAAAAAAAAAAAAACCCACAGTTCAAGTGTTTGATAGAAAGGGGTATCTCAGTCAACTGGAATGCTGTTGCTTTGACAGAAAGGGCGAACGATTTCCCCCCAAAAATAAGTATTCCAGCAGTTCTCTAATACTAACAAGGTTTAATAGTTATAATTTACATGTCCACTATGTAGAAAAGTTGCAGATGGAGGTAAAATTGTGTTAGTACCACAAATGGTGCATATGTCCATACACAGCTTTCATTTACATGCCTGATATAAACCTTTGCAGCTGAAACTCACAAAGTCAGCTAGTGGATTCCCTATTCATTCTCTCCACTTCAAAAACATTGTTTAGTTTTTTCAAGCATTGATTTATACCATCTTATGCTTTTCAGGCTTTGGCAATTTGTTTCAAATTCCAGTTTCCAAATATTATTTGTGTGAAGCCATTCTAACTGAATTACTTATGTGCTCAATCCCTCATGAACATCAGCCCATCTGTGGTTTCTTGTGTTTGAATTAATAAACAACTTATTCACAATCATCTATTCCTTGCGTTTCAGTGTGTCTCATGCCCTGTGAGATTCCACTCTTTTTCCATAACCTTTTTTGGTAAACTGTAAAGTCCAAGCATAGTCAATCTTTCTTCAGAATTTAATTCCGTTCCCCAAATTTGCAATCATTTTGCCCTCTGCTGCGTGCTTTCAGTCTCACCAATACACTTTTTTTCTAAGCTGAAAGGAATTGCACAAAGTAGGCTAGGTTCAGATATCCATTACATCTGTGTTAATTTAGGTATAACTCCAGTGATGTCAATGGAGTTACTCCATATTTCCTGTGTGCAAATGAGATCAGAATTTGGCTCATTGTTCTACATGCACCATTGGGTTGTGTCAAAATAACTTCTGTCTTGACAACGTTTCTCTTCATATCCCAAGATTGTGTGATTTCAAGCATTGTGCAGATGCTTTTACTGTCTCCTTTTTCCTCCTGGGCCTCTTTTCCTGGCTTATATACTGCATTGTGCTGCTGTTCCCTGTCTCCCAGCTTTGTGGCCTTAACTTCTTTATAATGATCTCTACAAGTCAGTTATCAGTCCATAAAACTAATCTATACAAGTCATTTGGAATTTATATGCTCTGTTCCTGTGCACTTAACGTCTGACTCCCTTCCATTATGTTAATCATCTGTAGTTCTAGCCTTTTTCAAATGCCTTCCCTTTACAAAGTCATTTTCATATAAAGTAAACATATATAGCGCCAAGTCTGACCTGCAGCACCCCGCTCCTTATCTCTCTCCTCCCTGAGCTGTTTCCTTTCCCTGGCACTCTGTTTCCTCTACTACAGCGAGTTTAGAATCCATTTCAGTAGGTTGTTCGAAGGATACTTTCTAATTCTTCAAATTAAACTATACATAGTTGGAGTATCAGATGCTTTCCTGAAACATGAACACAGTGAACTCCGTCCATTGTTTCTACCAAATCATTAATGTGGTCAAAGAATTCAAGGACGTTGCTTTAGACAGGAGGACCTTCCTTTTTTTTAGTTCATGTCATATCTTTCAAAATGTGTCTTAATGTTATCCCTTATCACTTTTTTCGCTCTGGTTGAAATGAAGCTGAGATATGCAGATCCTTCTTTGTTTTTTATTAAAAATATAGGAACTATAAATTCTATGCTTTTTAGTACTTGCTGAAACCTCTGTGTACTATTAAAAAAACGTTACCAAAGAATTTCCTGTTCCCCAGTTGTCTCATTCTATAGTGGGGTAAATGGTTTATCTAATCCAATAAACTAGGAATTAAAAATCATATTCTTTACCCAAGGAATGTGTAGTCCAGTCTCAGAGTTGTTAACCTTCCATTTATTTTGGGAATGAAATAACGGAGAAAACCTACAGTAAACAGTATTAGCTACATTTTGCCCTCACACATAGAATCATAGAGCTGGAAGAGACCTCAGGAGGTCATCAAGTCCAGCCCACCTCCCAAGGCAGGACCAATCCCAACTAAATCAACCCAGCCAGGGCTTTGTCAAGCCGAGACTTCTGTCTTCAGGAGGAGTTCAGCATACATGTCTGTGGGCAAAATCTGCCCCTGCTGGTGTAATTTACATTTGCAAAAGCAAGGTATGCCAAATTTAAATGGAGGTACGTGTCTAATCCTTACAGGAAAACTCCTGTGTATGTGGGAGATTCACGAATGCTGAGTCTTTGGTACAGCAGTGTTGCAGGAAAACTGTCTCATAACTTGTTAGGAGACATAATGGAAATAAAAAGCTATGCACGTTTTGCTGAAATGTTGGCATGTGGCCAGCATAGAGAGAAACCTTTCCTGTGTATGATGGCATTGTATTGTTAGGCTTCAGTTAGTGGCAAAAAAACAAACAACCCATGGAAATTCTGTCCCATATAAGAGTTAATCTGTATACTGTATACTTATGCCTACATGCAGCATAAAATATGGATATTCAGTGTTTTGCTGGAATAGGTGTTCTAGTATGTTTAATACAGATGTATGGAAAAATGAATGTTGTTACTATATAGCTGATTCCCACTGGTATTTCCCAGTGTGCAAATAATGAACTCAGGTTCCCTTTACATTTGAACTAAAGTGATGCTGTAGATATGTTTATTCATTTATGTGTATAGTGCCATTGCTCTGTGTGTGTGTCTTTGTTTTGCTTGAGCAAGTCTAAGGCTTTCTTTTCCCTCACCCTTTTAGATTGATGCATTAGGTAAAAGAAGCAAAGAAGCAGAGGCAGCCTTCTTGAATGTCTATAAGAGATTAATTGATGTTCCAGGTAAGCAAATTATTATCTTCCTCTGAAAAGCGGATGATCTCTGTAGTCCCAGATGCTGTTGGGAATTTCTTCTTTTTACCTTTGCTAAGTTATTGATTTTAGTCTCAAATTGACATACTGTGGCATTGATTGTAATTGTGTGTGTGTCTACACAGCAGGGCTTAACTCAAAATAAGCTACATAAATTGAGCTACGTCAATTGTGTAGCTTACTTAGAAATTGGGAGCATCTACACAGCACTTACTTTGAAATAGAGCACTCTTCCTCCAACTTCCCTTACTCCTTGTACAATGAGGCTTATAGACTCATAGACTTTAAGGTCAGAAGGGACCGTTATGATCATCTAGTCTGACCTCCTGCACAATGCAGGCCACAGAATCTCACCCACCCTCTCCTAGAATAATCCTCTCACCTATATCTCAGATATTGAAGTCCTTACAGGAGTTGGAATAAGAAATCCTCCTGCTTGACAGTATTTTGACATTATTTTGAAATAACTGCCTGCTGTGTAGACACGGACACGGACTAAGTTATTTCAAAATAATGTTGCTGTGTAGATGTACCATTAATGAGCTATAACTTAGGCACTTTGATGGCTTCTCCTCTTAAAACAGTTCATTGCATTCACATATGAAGTATTGTGAAAATCATTTTATATTTGTTACAGTACCATATAATTCTGAAAGCTGTTCTGGATGTTAATGATTTATTTATTAACAGGGTTTTCCTCATCGGTTAAATCTCCAATAATCTTGCCTCACAGAAAGTGGTATTGGAAGAATTTTTTTATTGGAGATGCAGAAAGCCATTGAAGAAAACTGTAAACTCTGTGTATGATGCAAGCCACTTTGAGCCAGGGCCACTGCCATACTGCTAGTTTTCAGCACCCCAGCTCATAAAAGGAAGAGCCTGCTTGATGTAGGGATGTAAAATCCCATTTACTTTAACTAGTTACATGTGATGTTTAACTAGTTAACCAATTAAACAGGAAGTGGATGGAGGGGCCCACTGGTTAACTGGAACTGGTAAACATCGCCCATTAAGGGTGATGCTTACCAGTTAACCTTTCATATCCCTAGTTTGGTGTTCACCTTCAAATGAGACTGGTGGCGAATTGAAAGACCACTCTTAGATTGCTGCCTATGGGGGAAACAAAATTTTATTTTTAATAATATTTAATATATTGCTCTGTAGCTATGCCCACGTATGAATCTCTTATTTTCCACAAATCATTTAATAAAAATGAAAATAGTCCATGAATAGGAAGGTGTACATAGCTCCTGTGTACTTTCCCAGATGGTTTTGTAGGTGTGCTTATTGTAGTCCTCGTATTGATAACACCATCATTTTGTGCTATTCTTTCATGAGTTTTTGTACCTCTTCTATAGTTATGGATGGCCTTTCTCTCACTGTATGATGTCAGCATACCTTTATCAGGCATGTGCTGTTTTGCTTGTGTTTATAAATGTGTATAACTTGACTTACCACTTCTGTGTGATGGCTCAAATATTTAGTCATATTTTTCCGCTGTAAAATGTAGTTGTGTGTTCCTTCTGATGCGAGTATTAAGCGGTACCATTCACACAATGCTGTGGACCTTTGGAGATGCAACATGGAATGAAGCTTGGAATGCTGCACAGTGGCTATTTTGTATCATGCATCATTGTAAATTTTTATCTGAAATTCAGGATTCTTAATAGTTAGGGCCCTACAAAATTCACGGCCATGAAATGTAGTCTCCTCCCCTTACATCTGGTGTTTTGGGTGCGTTTAACCTGAACTGTACAGATTTCACAGAGGAGACTAGGGTTTCTCACATTGGAAGTCCTGAAGTTATAGTTGCAAGGGGCTGTGATATTGCCACCCTTACTTCTGTGTATGGGTGGTTAGAAAGTGGCAGCTGTTGGCCAGGCACCCAGTTCTGAAGACAGTGCCCTGATAGCAGCAGCACAGAAGTAAGGGTGCCATCCTTCCTTCTGCGCTGCTGCTGCTGTTGGTAGTGGCTCCTACCCAGTGGCCACTGCTTTCAAACTGCCCAGTTCTGACGGCAGCAGTGCAGAAGTAAGGGTGGAAGTACTGCAACCCCCCTACAATAACCTTACAACCCCCACCCCACAGCTCCTTTTTGGGACAGGACCCCTACAGATACAACTCCATGATATTTCAGATTGAAATACAGGCAGTCCCCGACTTACGTCGGCTCCGCAGTTACGAACGGGGCTGCCCCAGAGTACACGGACTGCGGGACCTCGCGGTCCTGCCGCCCGTGTACTCTGGGGCTTTCTCT